TGACGCAGCAAGCAAGGGGTGCCCCGGCCCAGTGTTCTGTCGGGCACAGATAGAACCATCACTTGGTCCGGATTCGGACCGAGGTCCACCTCTTAGTGAACTTTGCTGTAGGGCATAGTGCACTTCTCCCTTTACAATCTGGTATACGCTTAATGTCCCTCCACATGCTCCGTGGGTCTTATGAGGTGAACTGACCCTGGATCCTCTGTGCATATGTGGCCTTGGTCTTCTTAATACCAGCAGCCAGCTCTTGTTCAGCATGAGGGAAGAGGCGCCTTTAGCTTTTTAGCTAGAGCACCTGTATTTTGCACCGCTAGCTTAGTGCTATGTCAATGCCAGGTGTGTGTGTGTGGTGGTAGTGGTGAGTGGGGTGGGGGCAAGTTGGGTTTGGCAGGCAGGGTGCTCAGTTCTGTTGACAGGGTGGGGCACCCCGCTTGTATAATGGTAGGGGAAACACTGGACTGAATGTCAGAACATGTCCAAAATAACATTCAAACTGAATGGAGCTCGCACCAGACCATCCTGTCTGTCATTTACCCAGAATGCATTGCAGCGTAAATAAAATGGCGATGTCTTGTGTGTCATTAATTTAAAATTAAAAATAAAAATCAAACAGCCTGCACTTTTACTTTCTTGTTTCTATAGCTGAAGGAATAGTTTATCAAATAAGGTATGTTGTTCCAGCTGGAAAAAGTTATTTGAATGTCTTCACACACCTTTTACCTTCTTTAATGGTCCTGTGTTAGGCCCCACCCATTAATCAACAAATCCCGCCTGTCAGCCACAGGCTCCGCCCACATAAGACCAACAGCAGGTTCCAACAGCTGAGGAAGCTCTTGACTGTAAAGCAGGGAGCTGTTAGAGCTGTTACTGTGATAAAAATACCTAAAGGGAAAACTGGAAGTTTTATCTTGGCTTAAATCTACATTTACCGGAGACAACGAACATTCGATAAGGAGTGAACTCTCATTCTGTTTTCTGTGTTTGTTTCTCCGGTTTGAGGTCCAGTCGAGACAAAACGAACATGGAGGAGAACACTTTTCTTCTTTGGTTTCAAATTTAAAGTTGAACAGTTGAATTTGTTTCTACAGCAGAACCTCTAGAACTTCCTGTAATCCTTCAAAATTAGAGTCTCCAACATCTGGGCTCTAACCGTCTGCCCCTCCCCCTGCAGGTGTGGTGGTCGGTGAAGACGACTGGATGGCTGAGCCCAGGAGGAAGAAGCCGGTGAAAGGAAGCAGCCGCCTGTTCATCGGCGCCGCCATCGACGGGAAGTCGGAGTATTTCCCCACGCTGTCGAGCAGGAAGCTGGTGGCTGACGAGGAGAGCGTCAACATGTTCTCGCTCGTTTACCAGGACGAGTTCGTCTCCTCGCAGATCAAGATCCCGTCGGACACGCTCTCCACCTACCCGGCCTTTGACATCTACTACGTGTACGGGTTCTCCAGCCGGACCTACGTGTACTTCCTGACGCTGCAGCTGGATACGCAGCTCACGCAGATGGACGCAGGTGGCGAGAACTTCTTCACCTCCAAGATCGTCAGGATGTGCTCCAACGACACGGAGTTTTACTCCTACGTGGAGTTTCCTCTGGGCTGCACCAAAGACGGCGTGGAGTACCGCCTGGTTCAGGCTGCCTACAAGCAGAAACCAGGCCGGCGCCTGGCCCAGGCGCTCGGCCTGTCTGAGGACGATGACGTCCTGTTTGTTATCTTCTCACAGGTGACTCTTCTCTTCTTCTGAACCGCTCTCAGTTTCAGGGGTTTTGGTCTCAGACTCTGGCTGTGCTTGGGCTTTTTCAGGGTCAGAAGAACCGCTCCAACCCGCCCCGAGAGACGGTCCTTTGTCTGTTCACCCTGCACGACATCAACCTGGCCATGAGGGACCGGATCAGCTCATGTTACCGTGGAGAGGGCTTCCTCACGTTACCATGGTTACTGAACAAAGAACTGCACTGCATCCATACGGTGAGTTCCCACTCCAGAACCAACCAAACTAAAACGCTGACCCGGATCACAGGTCTGACTGGTACAAAGCTTCGATCCAAACCAAGATCTGCTGTCTGAGCTCTGATCCCCACAGTGACGGCTACGTTCACGTACATATTCAGCTGAGCACTGTGTCATGTATGGCGGGTTGTTGGTCATATAATCAAGTCAGAGTCCCTCCTCTGTAACATTTCTTCTGCTTCCAGAAATGCTCTCACTGATCAGAACCGAAGTAAAATGTTTACAGTCAGTTTACAACCAGAAACTACTGCAGCCGTCACGTACAGGTGACCAACAGGTGGACGTGGGATGCATCAAGGATCAGTTCTGAGCCCCTTATTGTTTTCTCTGATAATGGACTGACTAACAGATGAGGTTGTTGATGCTGGAGCACAGGATGCTCTCCACTGCACACCTGTAGAAGGAGGTGAGGACTGAGCTTCCAGACCAGCTCGTCTCAGCCGCTTGAGGAAGTAGAGTCTCTGATGAGCTTTCTTCATCAGGCTGGTGGTGTTGTTGCTCCAGCTGAGGTTGTCAAAGCGCTTAACAACAACAACAATCAATGAGAGTAAAATTAAAGAGAAATATATATATATGTATATCTATTCGATATATGTATATATATATATATATATATATATATATATATATATACACACAATACACTAATAATAAAAACTGAAGATTTAATAAAAAGCATTAAAACATAGGGACACAGATTAAAAAAACACTAGAACAATTTACACTGTGTGAAATGTTTGAGAGAACAGATGAGTTTTCAGCAGAGATTTGAAGTGAGGAAGGGAGGTGG